GATGCTGGTGGAAGCACCTTGCTGTAAGACTGGAAACACAGCAGTGAGTAATTAAAACTACCTGCTCACAGGTTCAGTGTTTATTCTGGCCGCACCACAAATTATCGTAGACTTATGATCAGTTCGTACTTGTGGAGATACAATGAAATGTTGGAATGCTACTTTGGATAAGGTCTCATCAAACACAGGCACTAAGATGTGACATACACACATTGCTCTCAGTCAAGGGACTGTACCGAAACAACTCTTTGAGCAGATCAGATCTGAAGGAGAAAGTTTAGCTGAAAAAGTAATATTCACCACGTCAAGGTTACTCAAACTCCTCCACTCTTTCAAGATTTTAATATTTTTCTCACTTCTATATTATTTTCCTAAAAAAGGGCATGTAAAGAGCCCTTCAAATACACATCACGGCACATAGAAGCTTTAAGGCAATGAAGAACAGTAATTTTCCCCTCTTGTGCAGAGGCATTAAAATAGCTGTATGCTACAGTCACAGGCATCTTACACACACTTCTAGCCAAATAATGCACATAACAAAATGACTATTTTTGCAAACTGACCGTTCTGCTTTGCTGTGCAGCATTAGAATGCATTTGCCCCAAAACCCCCACTGCCCAAACTACAATGATGGCATCCCTGCTAGAGCACAAGGCCACACTGTGGCACCCTAGCTCAAAAGGACGGCCGTGGGCACTCTGAAGAAAGGCCACTGGGCACTGTCCTGCCCACACCCACGGGCTGAGCACCTCGGGGACCAGCAACACAGCTCAGCACAGCCTGGGACACAAAGCCATGACGCAATCTTAAGCCACAAGACAAGTCTGGCCAAAGCTTCTCTGTCAACATTACAATAGAGAAAAACAGTACCTAGCATTTACTACGTCTGCATTTATGTTGTTCAATGAGTATGAACGTGCTGTGAGACAGAAGCAAAAAGCAGCATTCTTTTATGCTGTAAGCACTCTTGCTGTAATTTTGTGCCCATAACACATATACTGTGTTTACACCATCACACTAAAGAATTTTAGACTTTAAGGATTGCCTATGAAATATAGTTCCCTCTAGTTATGTTTAAACATGCCATCAAAAATTTCTGGTATTTATCTACCACAACTCTACCTGTGCAAGTTCTCTGACTGGGGATCTGAATTATTTACATTGCTTATTTTTTTTCAGAAATCTATTTTCTAAGAATTAATAGAATTGTCCAGTGTTTTGGGGGAATATAAGAAGAAACATATATTTCTACGCACCCTGAAGAGGAAAACTGAAACATTTTATATGAGAAAATATCACTGAAAAGATATCAGTTGTTCCTTCTGAGGGAGAAAAATCCAGCAATGTGAATTACTCAGCACTATAGCTGTTTTTTGCCTTTCATCTCACCGACAGCATCAGTGGCAGAATGGTAACCAAAAAAAAAAAAAAGAGAGAGAGAGAGAGAGAGAGATAAAAGGACACAGAGATATACTGCAACAACATTAGGTATACACAGGTTGAGTATTGATGTGCTGTGAGCATAGGATGATCTGGAATGACATAATCAGGAAAAGGCAATGCCAAGAAGGGTTTTTCTCTTTCTTATTAATTGATTATTCTCTTTGCTACTAGAGGAAATTTAGGCCAACACCACTGCTTTTCTAGCAGTTAGACACATGATGTACAGTAGAGGAGGATGTGGGGGGAAACACCAAAATAATTCAAACATCTACCTCCTTTTTTTTTTTATTCTTAGGAATGGCACATTGCTGCTGGTTTAATAAGAATGTCGTAGGTGCTGCCTAACTGTGCCAAATTAACAAGGGCACCTCACACAGAAGCTTCTCCTCTGCAGCAACTAAATGCTGGCACCCTGCAAAAACATGTGTAACATGTTCCACCTTCACAATGGTCTAATGTATTACTGAATTATGCAGAAATCAAATGCAATGCAACTTTCTCTTATGATAAAAAGGTATGTTAAATTGAGGACTCTTTGCCCTATGAAAATCTCTTCACTACTTCAAAGCAGCATTTTTTTATGATCTGAATGTTTCTCCCTTTCCCTGCCCCCC